GCACTTGTCTCATGGCATAGTAAAAAGCAAGCTTGTGTTTCCCGAAGATCAGGTGCACAAATTATCACCCTTGTTACCCAATAGAGCATGCAACCCAACACTCAGCTCCTTTAAAGGGCAAGGATACAAACATATTCACTTATCCAAGGGAAGCAACGTAGAAGTGCCAGCACCAAAGAGACGAGGAGAAGACCCGAACGAAATGTCTACGTCTTTTCTTGCCTTCGAAAAAGCAACACATAGATATTCCAAAGGACAAGTAAAGAGGGGTAGCTGTATACACCCAATTTCGTCCGGGAGCATACAAAAAAGGTAATGGACTTCCATTATCGAAGGAAAGAAGCTCACGAAGCATGGAAACAACAGGACATGACATTAGAAAGCCTAAAGCCCAAATAAGCTAGTTTTAGTAGCCCAGAACGGGCTGAAGCCTTTCACCACTAATCTGGCTTTGTACCTTGGAGATGTAGAATTACTTTCTTGCTTCACCCTGAAAATCCACCTGTTTTCTAAGGCCCTCTTGCCCTTAGGCAATTTCACCAAGTCATAAGTGTGATTATCATGCAAGGATTTCATCTCATCTTGCATTGCATCCAACCACTGTTGCTTTTCTTCACTTTCCAAAGCCTCTTCAAAACATTCAGGTTCTCCACCATCAGTCAAGATCACATACTCATCAGAAGAATACCTTGTTGAAGGTTGTCTCTGTCTATTAGACCTCCTGAGTTGAACTTGATGTGGTTCAGGTGCATCATCAATATTCTCATCATGAGAAATTTCATGCTCCTCCTAGTCATCATCAATAGGAACATCTAATCCACCTCCAAGTTGTTGATCGTCAACATCATCATGTTGTTCACCAGGTTGAACACTACCATCAACATTATCCATATTGTGAATAAGTAATCGCATAGGATCAACATCAGTCAGATTCCTATCTTTCTCGGGTGTAGTCTTTTCCACCTTATCAATGTCTTCAATGGTTTGGTCTTCCATGAACTGTACATCACGGCTTCTAACAAGCTTTTTCTCAACAGGATCATAAAACCTGTAACCAAATTCATCCTCACCATAACCAATGAAGATGCACTGCCTTGTCTTCGCGTCCAACTTGGATTTTTCATCCCTTAGAATATGGACAAATGCCTTGCAACCGAAGACACGCAAATGATCATAGCTTGCATTCTTGCCAAACCAAATTTTGTCTGGCACCTCACTGTTAAGAATAATAGTAGGAGTGAGACTAATAACATGCACCGCTGTGTATAGTGCCTCACCCCAGAAATGCTGTGGGAATTTAGC